ATAGTAGTGAAAGCTTATGTATTGTGGTATAATTAAGTAATTTTCAAAAACACTCTTGTTTCTTTCCTAGGTTTGTACCATACATTTCTGCTGATAAAGTAATAAACAATTCCTGCTGACAATTCTTCCTTATCAGCAAGGAGCTATTTAAGATATCACCACCACCATGGGGCTCCTGGTGACTCAGTTGGTCGAGCACCCGACTCTTGATTTAGGCTCTGGTCATGATCTCAGCGTCTTGGGATGGAGCTCTGGGTTGGGCTCTGCCCTTAGCATTGGGATTCTTTGTCTCCCTCTGCTTCTGCCCCTCCCCCTGCTCACACTCTGACACTCTAACAAATAAATAAATCTTAAAAAAATAAAAATAAAAAGTATTACCACCTCTTTGAACGAAAGAAGTTGCTAAGGCTAGGGCCAGGAGAGGACAAGTTTAAAGTGAGCCTTAACCTGAGACTTTGTAGGGTATCGTGCTTCACATTTTCTAAGACATACAAATGCTAGTTGTCAGCATCATAGAATTCAAGCTCTCAGAGTTTGTGACTGTTACCTTACTCTTATGGATAGGCCCCAATTCCTCCCAAAAAGGACATTCAAAGTGAGATAGTAAATAAATCTTTTACTTCAAGGTTTTCTGTACATATTATCTGTATACTTAGCTATTCATGCAATCTGCCTTTTTTTTCTCCTTTGTAAAACAGACCTAATTACTTTTTGGAATTTTTTTAGGTAACATATATAAAGTACAGTTTTCATAAATATTGATGTTGACAACAAATGTATTGGTTTTCATGTATGTGTATTTTTCATTAGCAATGACGACACTGCTGATAAAGGCATTACAGTTGATAGGACAAAATGAGTCACTGGGAATTCATGATTGCTAGGAGCTGCAGCTGACAGAGGCTGACGTTTTTAGTGCCTTAAGGATTCTTATGTCATCTAGATAAAACCTGGGGCCAATCCTCTAAATTTGATAATCATGCCAAGATTAAAGGCTATAGAAAGGTAGCTTAAGGAAATTTTATAGATATTCCATTAATAAAAGCAAAGCATAGCTCCAAGGGTTTATTGCTATTTACTAAAACATTATGGATTCAAACCAGGATAATGTTCTTAGAAAGGGGTCAGAATCTTTTTAGTCCCGTGTCTAGCCATTTAACTGGAAGCTAACTTTATCTGCCACATCAATACTAAGAACTAAACACTAAAACTCACCTCAGATGGATAAGGAAGAAGGGAAATATTGAGCCTAGGAAATAGGAGAGAGATTTTTAAAGGAAAAGGACTACTGTGTTTGGTACTAGTAGGACACCCACCACAACAGACAGGTTGTACACTTTTTTCCTGCCATCTATTTCTTCGTTTTGTGTGTGTGTGTGTGTGTGTGTGTGTGTGTGTGAGAGAGAGAGAGAGAGAGGTTTTGCTGTCAAGCGAAGGGGTACTTCATACTGTCATCACATGAACAAAAGTGAAACAACATTCTAACACAGAGGCTACCATCATAAAAACTAGAAAAAGCAACCCCCTCTGTGTGAAACAATTAGAAAAGTGCATCTTTTCCTCTGAACTAAACTAGCAGGGACTGGATAGGGCCCCCACTCACCCCTTTAACTGTTTACAACCTTCACAACCATATGCAGTAGCCTTATATCCAAAGGAGGGAAACTTTGCTAACCCTATGGCATAAGGCACATAACTTACTTTTAAAAAGATGATGATTGCACAGGCTATACCAACGACTCCAGTTCCTATAATGGATATTTTATTGGGATAAGCAGCCTCCTCCGAAGTGAAATTCTTCATAGGTCACCCTTGATGGTCACCATCTTGGAAACCTAAGAGTGAGGAGAAACTGCAAAGCCACTTCCAGAATCGGAACTGGCCTACCGTGAGAGAGACCTTATAGAGAACTCCTGGGTCCCAGTGGGGAAAGAGGTGCTGTAGACCCAAAAGGAACAACAAAAGTGGCTGGCAAAGAAGCTGGGTGGTTTCTGGCCAGCAGCCCAACATACAAGAGGCAAAACACGGGGACTGGGGGATGGAGAAAAGGGTGGTACAGTTAAGAGGAATTAAGGAGTGAAGGCAAAGGGGCCACTCCACCAAAAATGATACAACAGTCAGGACACCTCTTCCTCCCCTAGCCCAGCTCTCAGCTCCCGGAGTGAGCCCAGGCTCCCTAGGCTCCAGCAGAAGACTGCCCCCCATGAAGTACTTCCAGCCACACTCGCACAGGTAAAGGACCAGCCACACCTGACCTGGATGTGTGCGGCCTGCAAGGGATACAGCCATCCTCAGACAAAAGAAATTTGTTCCCGCAGCGCCCATCCTCCGGCTGGTGGGCACGACCCCGCAGCGCAGCTCATGGCCACCTCCTCGGGAGGCAGACTAAAAGAATGGAGGAGGAAAATGGTAGAACTGTTTGAGGCTGCAAGAGTGAAAACCGCTGGCTACTGAGGCTGCGCAAGACCGCGTCCAGCCCGTGCGGGCCTCATGGGGTTTTCGCACACCTGGAGCAAATGAGAGGCCAGGAGGCGGGCTGTGATGTACTGCACCTGCGCCTGTCACCTGCACAGGGGAGGGCTGACAGGCTTCCGGGAGGTTCCTTGGGCTCCTGGGCTCTAAGGGCACGAGGTGCAAAAGATAACAACGAACTAGAGAGCCTCAGTTATCAGAGTTCTGCGCACCTAGAACTCATCCACTGGAGAGCTCGAGTAAATTTATTTCTAACCAAACATTGTCTGGATGTGTTCAATAGGGCTTTTTGACCCTCCACTGGGACCTTCCCCCAGAACTGCTGCAGAAAGAGAGCTGTGTGCTACTTTTAGTCACCCACAAATGTGAGCTAAAACGGAGAGAGTCAAAGTATTAAAACCCTCTGCAAAGGGGATTTTTAAAGAAGATATGAAACCCTAAGAATTTGATCAGGGCAGGGCTAATTGATAACCATTTCCACTAGTGGATGGGAAAGCTCCTTATTTATGAAGTAGTTAAATGCAGAATCCAAAATTCCCCTCTTTGTCTGGGATACACCAAGGCTTCTAGTTCTCTTGTTCCACCACGTTCTAATTGTTTTCTAACTCATTTGTGAATCATAATACATAACACACCTCTGACAAATTCTTTTAGAAGAAACAGAGCAGTGTTTCTCAAACTTCATTACCTCTCCCTTAGGGGCCTTTTTAGACTTTCTTGACCAATCGCTCAGCTCCACCCACCCCCAAAATGAAATTAAATATTAAAGAATAAGAGGGGCAGCTGGCTGGCTCAGTCCATGGAGCAAGTGGTCTTGATCTCAGGATTGGGAGTTCGGGCCCCACATTGGGTGTAGAGATGACTTAAAAATAAAATCTGAAAAAACATGAAGAATAAGATTTTGTCTGGTAGGGTAGAACTTTAGGGAGTGAAACCCTTGTAGTATCTAAAATTTTTCCCCCAACTGCCCCCCATAACCAATTTTACACTCTTGGGGGTGATATTGCCCCCTGTGGAGAATACACAATGTAGAGCAGTTTTAGTTCCTAGAATATTTCTTGTAGAAACTATAGTTTGTGCCCTTCCAATATTTGTAAAGATTTCCTAAAATGAAATTTTTAATTTGTTGTACAAAGAACAGCTTAAAAAAAAAAAAGGCAAAATCCACATTAGACTCCGGTATCCCTGCTATCCTAACTAAACTCTCTCATGATCCTATTTGAGCATTTGAGGGAAGAGCTGAAATAAGGGAAAAGAACAGAATAATGGGAAACCAATCACGTTCAGCAGCAGAGGACTAGAATGAAAACTATTCAGATTGCAAGAATAAGAGTATGAACTGTGACTCTCTGCCCAGTGGGTGCACCTCCACAAGAGGCACGTAAGTCCTTAGGACCTGCATATCCGTCTTCTAATTTTTCCCACTGGTCCTGTCCTAGCCTATTCTAAATTATTTTGGTCCTGATTTCTTAGTTTTGTTTAATTGTGTATTTTCTATAACTGCCTTAAATTGTGAAATGAAAGGAATATTTCATATATATGTGCTCTATGTATGTGTATACATACATCAGAAGTACATGTATGCATGCATACACATGTATGTCAATAATCAATCAATTGAGGCACCCTAAGTACTGTGAGATACTTGAGGACATAAATCAGGCCATACTGACCTCATAACCATAACACAGCAAGCGTAGCAGTAGTTTGCTCAACAAACGACAAGCAAATGGTCTGAACTTCCGGTGTGGCATTTCAACAGAGACACCAAATCAACTACTTGGGTTTATATGTGTTTTTTTAATGATTTTATGTATTTATTTGACAGAGATCACAAGTAGGCAGAGAGGCAGGCAGAGAGAGAGGGGGAAAGCGGGCTCCCTGCTGAGTGGAGAGTCCGATACAGAGCTGGATCCCAGGACCCTGGGATCACAACTTGAGCCGAAGGCAGAGGCTTAACCCACTGAGCCACCCAGGTGCCCCTACTTGGGTTTATATGAATTGGAATAATATTACAAGGTTCAAAGACATTTTGTTTAATTTTTTATACCATAAAATTTTATTTCTGTTTCCTTCTGATATACATGGTCTTAAAGATAAGTGCTTACTTAGTAAAGATCATACACACGAAGCCAATGAAGCATAAAGTAAATAAAGAAATTTAAATAAAGAAATAAAAAAAATAAAGAATTAAATTTTGACACAAGAAAAAAGCGCTGGTTGTTTTGTGAGAAAAATCATTTTATATTATATACTGGGTTGTTATACATATTCTACTAAATCTAAAGGCAACTCTTATATATGACACACCTCAGAGCAAAACTTGCCTCTGTATAGGTTGGGTATCATTAGAACTGAGCTATGAGACACTCAGAGAGAGAGATCTCCCATTTCCTTTTCCAAACCTTGCGGGACTGAACTTACATCATGGGTCTCCAGTGTTTTGTTTTGTTTTTTTTTAACAGATCAGATTAAAATACTTTCCAAAAAAAACCCAAAAATAAAATACTTTCAAAATGTAAAAGTCTGATATCTTTTGTTCTATGGAACGGTGAAACATTAAGAGGCTTTAAAATACCAGGTCTTTTTGGATATTCCAGAGTGTGTCTGCACTCTTCTTAAAAAGGGCCTCCTCCTCCGAATTCAAGTTAACTTTCACAACACCTGAGACACCATTTCGCCCCAAGATACAAGGGATACTGAGAAAGATTTCTTCATTTATTCCGTATAAGCCCTAAAAGGCAAAATTAGATTATTGTTCAGTAACCTGATATGGAAAAGCAATTCTGCAAGAAAGCTTCAGAATAAGAGGATACCAGAGAGACCACAGAGCTCACTAGAATCAGAGGGGGGCAGAGTAATTAATACTGATCCTAACATCCTATGACTGCGGAGTTTGTGTTCAAGGACATGAAGAACATGCCAGAGGTCTTCAAAGGCACCAAGAGAGACACCATCTACTATTACCCCTTACCAGGTCCACTTCTCTGTCCAAAGAAAAGATGTGATCCAATCCTTCATGATGCCGTTTTATCTGATAAAGGACCGCAAAACCAAGCGACCTGTGTTGGATGTAAACTACATCAAGAGAACAGTGAAGGTTGAAGTGGCTGGGAAAGTGACTGCTTTGTTTAAGCAGACCTTTACACCAGGAAGCACCACTGAGTCAGACACCAGATGCTACAGGTGACAGCTCCATTCTCCAAAGCTGAAGCCTGCAATGCAGCCTACAGGTACTCTCATGTGCCCAGCAGGGCCTTTGTCTTTCCCCTGACAGTTACCAATGGAATGAACCCCTGTTATTCTGGCTACTTCTATCCACCACTCCATTTGACTTCTATCCAGGACCTCGTGTGATGAACATGGAATAGGTGCAACCATGGCCACCACCTTATCCCTCCTGGAACCTCCAGCTAGCAGCCCTGATGTTCCCTCCGCTCCTGCAGCCAAAGCCGAGGTTGCAGAAGCAGCTTCCAGAGGTGATTACAACCGGGGCAACAAACCTACAGGCCTACATGCCCACAAACCTGTTTCTGCCACCCTCCTACTACCCCCTGGAAGAGAAGACCCAGTAGACCCCCTCACACCTCCCTCTGCCTTCCACCACTCATTGTTCTCTCCTATCCACCCCTTGGGGTTGAGTCTAGGGTTGGAGGCAGCAATGGGAAAGTCTTGTTCTCCCTCCTTCCTTCCTTATAATTAAACAGTTACCGGGAACTAGCACAGAGGGAAAGAAGAGACTCCTTGACTCTGGAGTGGTACCTTCCAGCGTCCCACAGCAGCTCAGAGCCCGCAGGTGCTACTCAGTCAAGCTTCCCTCTCTCCATCTCTGAGGATCTCAGGGTGTGGCCCTTGCTCCTGTTTCACTCTAAGTCTCCCACAGAGGGACTCTGGCTACCTCCTCCACCCCAGTGCGGTTCCCTCACTTTGGTAGGCACTTTACACTCAACCTCAAAAGCTCAATCACACCAGCCACATGTCTTCCACTGAGGGCCCCTGCCAGGCCATTCTCACATTCCCTCCTCTCTGGTCTGTGCCTACCCATGGAAGGCCACTGCCCCACCAGACCGTCAGCCCACAGTCCATTCCCAGCCGGGCTCCACCTCCAGTTACACTCACCTTCCCTTGCCTTCCCTGCCCTTGGTCATTCTGTTGCCACCTCTGTGTAACTTTTGGGAGTTTCAGCGTGAGTTGCTGGGGATTGGGTAGCATCAGAAACAAGGCCACTGTGGCTGAGGAGGAAGCCCCTCTGCTTCCCTGTTAGTGGTTTGGGGATTTGTTTCCCGTCTGCTTTCTCTGTCTTTCTTCCAGAAGGGGCTTCTCAGACTAGAACTGAAGAATGTATATTCATCCCATCATGCCATTTGCAGGCTGCTGAGTGGGATGGAGATAAGGGGCCTGGCCCTGCCTGGTCCTATGTGCTGACCATGACTGCTGCTAGTCCCTTCTTCTCTTTAGGCTTCATGCCTCGTTGACAATATGACAATATGACTCTCGAATACACTAAAATTGGCTCTCATTTGTTCCTGGACTGGCCATGAAATGAGGAAATGGCTATTTAAAAACAATTCCCTATATATTGGGAAAAAATCCAGTCAATATATTAATATGAAATAAACTGTTTGTATACCCTTATTTATTTGCTGAAAATGTGAAGTAATAAAATTGAAGTAACTGGGATAAAAAAAAGAGTACAGGATTGATTATGTTCTTAATGTCAAATGTTTTATCAAATTTTTCTTTTAAAATTTAACTTGTCCATTGATTTGTTCAGTAAGAACTACGAAATTCCCATATTACTCAATCTCAGTCTCTCCTCAGAGCATTTGACATCTCCCTGACCTTGCCTCAGGAGTGCCCTAGAGGTCATTGCTTATTCTCCCACATCTTCTGCACACCCTCAAAAGAGGAGGGGTGTGTGGTATCCGTTGTGTACTCATTGTCTCTTTCAAATCATTAGCCCCTACTCTCTTAACATTCCCCCTATTTTTTGAGGCTCGTCTACTAATGACCATTTACTAACCCTTTGGTTACTCCATCTCATTCATAAAAGACTGACACCTAGCTCACAGTTTTTCCTCTCTGCTCTGATTTCTGCGACTAACCTTGGTGACTTCATTGTCCATGTGGATAAACTAACCATAACCAAGCCCCTTTCTTTCCAGTTTCTTGACTTCTTCAGCTCATAACCCTTTCTCCCCCATCCCAAGTATCCTACTGTGGACCTTGTTAGAGAGTCCCTCCATATCCATGATTTATCCTGTAACTCTTTCACCATATACTAAGACCTTCTGCCCTATTTTAATTTTCAGTTTATGAATATTTCTTCAAGTCCTTATTATTCATTTTCTTTTTATAACTTATTCATTTGTATGTAGATCACATTTAAAGGACAAAGGTCTTGAATTTTGTCTGTGACCCTTCAGCAGAAAGGCAAACCCATTACTAACATGTGTATAAGCCAAAAGCTACACTTCCCCCATCCCTCCCCTCTATTTTCTCCCCCACCCTCTCTTTCATGCTCCAGCAAGTAAAACCTACACCCACATGAATTCAGCTACCTTCCCTCCCCATTCCTGTGCACACATCCCTGGAGAAAACTACACAATAAAGTCAATCTTTAACTAAATCAATTAATGAATACCAACCTCAAATGAGCATCCACCTAACAGTAATTCTGTTTTTTGGGGGGAGTCAAATTCTATTTCTCACTATCTACAAAGATGATTCAAAATCTTCTCAAACATCTGACTTTTCTATATATCCTCTGATTCTCAGTAGGTGATTTTGTCTCTTCACTAAAAATAAGTCATCGGATGCATCCAATGTCTAACTTATAAATCTACGGGATTCACTGCCTATCCTCTATTATCTCCTGCTACAGCAAATAGCTCTGTCTCCTCCTTTCTAAGGCTAATACCTTCATCTATGCTCTGGATCCCACCCTCTCTGCTATTACTTCTATCTTCAATATCTTCTTTTACCATCAGCATCTTATCTTTAAAAACAAAAAACAAAAAAATACAAACTTGACTGACTTGATTTTCCTCTCCAATTACTACTCTCTTTCCTTACCTTGGCAGCCAAATACCTCAAAAGAGCTGTTTAAACTTGTCTTGATTTCCTCAAAATTTCTCAAGGGACCCTCCAAAGGGACATTGGGCAATATCTGGAGACATTTTTGACTGTCAAAACTGGGGAAAGAGAGTATGCTACGGCATCTGACAGATAGAGGCCAGGAATGCTGTTAACATTCCACAATGAACGGGGCAGCCCTCCAACAGTGAAGAATTATCTGGTCCAAAGTCAATAGTGCCTAGGTTAAGAAAACCCTACTGAACTCCAATCAGGCTTTCATTCCTACTACTTCAGTAAACAGCTCCTCCTAAGTTTATCCATGACCTCTGTCACTTTATCTTTCTGGCATTTTTAATCCCAATTTAAATGACTTCTCAACATCAATCAACAGAAAACCAATTCTTTCATCTTTAAAGCATCCTCCTCTCTCTTGGTTACCATGAATCCACATTTTTTTCCCTTGGTTTTTCTTTTAACTCTCTGGCCACTACTTCTTAGTCACCTTTGTGGGCTCACACTATAAACTCAACTTTTAACATTCCTCAAGACTCAGTCTGTCTTCTCACTTTATTACACTCTCCTTAGGCAAGCTCATTAAAATTCCCAGCTGCAGTTACCAAGGGTAAGGGATACCTGTTGTCTGTGCTTGTCCAGCATCTCTTTCTTTATTGTTGGTGGTGGTGTTGACAGAAGCTCTCTCCCTCTCAGGAACTGTCTCTTTCCAAACTGACTCATACTTAGAACTTCAACTAAAACTCTTTTATAAGTTCCAGAAACTGTACCCAACTGCCTATTTCCCCTCGGATATTGAAAAGGCACCTGAAATTCAACTTGTTCATAACTGCAAACATGATCTTTAAACCTGGTTCTCCTTGAGAATTTTCTTCCTCAGTGGATATCACTCTCCATATAATGGTGCAAAATATAAACCTACAAGTGACCTTTCTCTTCCTTATTTCCTACTTAATTCCATTACCAAGTCCTATGAATGTTACCTCCTAAATACAGTGTCTCTCAAATTCATCCCCTTCTCTTCACCTCTACTACTATCCTTTCTATTCTGGGCTACTGCTCATCTTCTTGACAAGTTTCCACATGTCCACTCTTGTCCCTTTCAAATCTGTTCCATCACAGCCATAAAAATATTTATATCATGAAAACTTGCCAGTCTCTCGCTTAAATTCTTTTGGTGGCTTCCCATAGCCTTTATGGTAAGGATCCAAATCCTTTTATAAAGCTTTCAGTGGTCAAACCCTGCTTGCTTCTCCAGCCTCACGATGTACTTCCCTTCATTCTCTACATTCCAGCAACTCACCTTTTTTCAGCTCCACAAGTGCCCTCTATTTATATCGACCTCTGTTCCTCTGTATGTGTATTCCCTCTGCTTAGACTATTAGTCCAGCCTTCCAAATCAACTCCTACTCATTATTCAGAATAGATCACATTTGACTTCCTTAGGAAGTCTTCCCTTACTATTACCCATGCTTCAACCCGGGTAGTTAAATTCTCTTCTTGTATACTCTTAAATACTTGGTAGTTTTTCATCATTTCACTTATCATAATTTGTTATTATATATTTACTTTTATAATTGTTTTATTAAGTCCATTTTTTTCTTGAACTTTATGAGGTCAGGGCCTTTTTTGTTCACCACTATATCCTCAACATCTTGTATAATGCCTGGCACAGAGTAGAGAATCAACAAATATTAAAGAAAAGATGATGAATGAAGAGTCAATTTAAGCCTACCTTAACCATAGTTGAAACTGGATGCACTCTCCTAAGATTTTTCAAAATTGATCCTGCCAGATCTGTCACAGACAGTCCAATAGCCCAAGAGGTATATCCTTTAAGCCTGATAATCTCATAGGCACTATGGTTATAGAAAGTAAGAAAATCAAATTAATGGCAAATCAACTCAGAGAAAACATTATTTTTCAAGAATCCAATTTGAAGTAACCTATATGTCAATGCCACTCCCAGAGATTTTTTCTAGAAATTATTTATGAACAGGCAATAGAAGTTTCTATACTATTTTCATAAACTTCATTATTCAATTTAAGCAATAACTAACCTACCCTTCTCTTATCATAAAAGCAGAATCCTAGGGCATATGTGCAACTAAAGATGAAACTTTTTTTGAGTTTTTTTTAATTGTTGCTTAAGTATGCAAACAGAATCTGATCATCTTGAAGGTTAGCATATACATCTTGCTGACCACTTAAAGCTGTTACTAGGGTGCCAATGTAACTTTCTATAATTAAAAGCCATGCATACATATTGTTCATAAGAATAAATTATTAAATCAATAATATATGAAAATATGGAAATATGTTCATGATACATTTTCAAAGGAAAAAGGCACAGTCCTAAAGAACCTAGATATCCATCTACAGATGAATGGATAAAGAAGATGTGGTATATATATATACAATGGAATACTATGCAGCCATCAAAAGAAATGAAATCTTGCCAGTTGCAACGATGTGTAGGGAACTAGAGGGTATTATGCGGAGTGAAATAAGTCAATCAGAGAAAGACAATTATCATATGATCTCCCTGATATGAGGAATTTGAGAGACAGAGTGGGGGACTTGGGGTAGAGAAGGAAAAAATTAAACAAGATGGGATCGGGAGGGAGGCAAACTTTCAATCTCACAAAACAAACTGAGGGTTGCTGGGAGGAAGGGGGTATGGAGAGGGTGGTTGGGTTATGGACATTGGGGAGGGTATGTGCTGTGGTGAGTGCTGTGAAGTGTGTAAGTCTGACGATTCACAGACCTGTACCTCTGGGGCAAATAATACATTATTTTTTGTATGTTAATAAAAATAACAAATAAATAAGTAAATAAATAAATAAATAGAAAAAAAGACACAGTCCTAAACATTATGCAATTTCTTATCTCAGGCTCATAACAAACATCATTCATATCTATAAAAACTTTAGAATTGCATCAATACACAAAGTTTTTCACAGTGATTAATTTTAAGTGATATTACAAGTGATATGATCTTTTTTTTAAAATATTTTATTGTTTATTTAACAGAGAGAGACAGAGAGATCACAAGTAGGCAGGGAGGCAGGCAGAGACGGGGGGAAGCAGGCTCCCCGCAGAGCAGAGAGCCCGATGCGGGGCTGGATCCCAGGACCCTGAGATCATGACCCGAGCTGAAGGCAGAGGCCTTAACCCACTGAGCCACCCAGGTGCCCCACAAGTGATATGATCTTCTTTACACTTTTCTGAATTTTCCTAGTTTCTATAATAAATATGTATTCTATTTCTGCATTGCCACCCAAAGATTTGGGTGGACAGTCAAAAGCAAAGAACAAAGAGGTTTTAACTTAGCACTAAGTTTGTTTAGTTCTGAGAAAAGGATCCAAAATAGTAAAAGGAATGTTTGGCATCAGTATTCATATTGGTGGTCTTACAACCGTGTGGGCACAGTTTCAAGGCCCCAGGACTATACGCAGGACACTTGGTAGCAAAAGATAAGACATCCGATGTGTGTATGGACCACCTCAGCACAGGAAAGTTGAGACTGGACTATACTCATTGTGGTATCCTATGATTTGACTGTGGGCTCAGTTGAATCTTTAAAACTAGGGCCACAGTTAGAAGGCATGCAGATTGCTATCAAATTTAGGATTAACTTTCAGACTCTCAATTCAATATAACCAAGACTCTGTGGGGTAAGTAAAAGGAAAGAGAGGAGACTCTAATGGATGATTGATGATATATGAGTTGAAGAAAGCTCTGCAGTAGATAACTGGGGAAAAAAACTTACCAGTGAAATTTGGGTGACAGATCCACCCTCTCAGGAATTAACAAAATAGATTGACAAAGAGAAAACGGTTGAGAAAAAAAATGGCTAAAAATATAATACTTTAATTTTTAACCATCCTAATGAAAATAAAAGTGCTGCAATAAAGAGAAAGGTAAAGGAAGCAAATAGAACAAGCAGTTTTAACGCTACTATCTTAACACAAAAACTGATTGTTCTGGGGCGCCTGGGTGGCTCAGTGGATTAAGCCTCTGCCTTTGCCTCAGGTCACGATCTCAGGGTCCTGGGATCCAGCCCCACATCGAGCTCTCTGCTCAGCAAAGAGCCTGCTTCCCCTCCCCTCTGCCTGTCTCTGCCTAATTGTGATCTCTCTCTCTCTATGTCAAATAAATAAAATCTTTAAATAAATATATATATATATATATATATATATATATATATATATATATAAATGAACTGATTGCTCTGTTAAAAACGTGGAAGTGTATCCTATTAAATCATGGTGTCACTGCCCTGCAATTGTTGGTTAGCCACTGGAAAATCAGAGGCTATAATAGAAAACAGTTGGGTTGTTTTAGATAAAAAAATAGCAGTCTCATGAGGATCCTTTATAATTATAGGTTCTCTGCTAAATGACCAAGGTGCAAATAATTTAATTTGAACACTGCATTGCTGGGAGGACTAACTGGAATGTGTACTGATCTGTAATATGTTGCTGTATTTGGTATTTTTTTAAAAAGATTTTATTTATTTATTTGACAGAGAGATCACAAGTAGGCAGAGAAGCAGGGAGAGAGAGAGAGGAAGAAGCAGGCTCCCCGCCGAGCAGAGAGCCCAATTCGGGGCTCGATCCCAGGACCCCGGGATCATGACCCGAGCTGAAGGCAGAGGCTCTAACCCACTGAGCCACCCAGGTGCCCTTTGATATTTATTTTTAAAGAAAGTTCTTTTTTTTAAAAGATTTAATTAATTTATTTATTCATTTGACAGAGAGAGACAGCAAGAGAGGGAACACAAGCAGTGGGAGTAGGGGAGGGAGAAGCAGGCTTCCCACTCAGCAGGAAGCCAGTGTGGGGCTTGAACCCAGAACCCCGGGATCATGACCCAAGCTGAAAGCAGCTGCCTAACAACTGAGCCAACCAGGCACCCCACAGTATTTGGTATTTAAATCACACAGAACTTCAGTGGGAAATTGCAACAGCATTTTAAATTAGAAAGGAACTATAACATTCCCTGTGATGCAATTATTAGGAATTGGATAGACAGAGACCAATGTTGTAACATCCCTGCAAGAACTAGATCGGCGGCTCCGCTGACATTTGCAAACCAGTATTGGCTAAAACATGTTCCTTAGTGGTTGGGTTGTGTCTCTGCCTCCAGATCAGGTTATTTCTGCATTTACTAGGAAATGGTCTCTAATGGCCCCTGTATCTGGAAATATGTGGTATATGGGTAAAGGACACTTGTGTTAAGAAGAATAGGAAATGATACTATAATATTAACAGGTTTTTTTGCTAGGCACTAACTTGATCTCTTAGCCAAAGCTATTTGGTATAACAAAGGTTAGTAGGTTTCTGTAAGGAAATTTAAGAAAATAAGAGGTGCCTGGGTGGTTCAGTTGGTTAAGCATCCAACTCTTGATTTTGGCTTAGGTCATGATTTCAGGGTTGAGAGATCAAGCCCCGAGTCAGACTCCGTGCTGGGTGTGAAGCCTGCTTAAGAGTCTCTCACTCTCCCTCAGCCCCTCCCCCTCTGTGTGTGTGCTTTCTCTATCCCTCTCTCTCTAAAAAAAAAAAGAAAAGAAAAAGGAAAAAGAAAGAAAATGAAACATACTGATAAAAATAACCAAAATGAAAAGACAGTTGACCTGAAACTTCCAACTGATGTGATCTCTGTAGAAATAATAAGGCCAGAAGAGGAAATAAATTTGCTTTAGAAATATCAAACACACAATTAAATGAGTCTGTCAATACATTTAATAAGGTACAAGTGATAATAAATAAAAGTGGAAGATAGGATAGTCCAATTAACTAAGGATTACCAAAACACCTGTGAGTGATTTTGGTTACCTGTTTTATAGATCCTGGTGGTTATAGGTATACCAGCTTGTTTTTCTTATGTATAAAATATTGAAGACATGTTTGTCAAAGGAACTCTGAGGAATATATGATATAAAGAGGATCACCCAAGATCATGGAGAGGTATCATGGGTAGAAGGTTAACAGTAGGTATGGATCCTTTCTAAAAAGGCAGGTCTATCTAGGAAGATGACTTTGGGTATGCTTTTGCACGAAACAGTTTTCTAGATTAAAAAAAAATTGGTTTAAGCACTGGACAAATTCTGAAAAGATGATGAAGTAGGAAGCACCAGGATTCTATCTCCCCACCTAGACAATAACTGTTTTGTCAAAAAATCTGTCTGATATAACTATTCTGGAACTCTGGAGTCTATTAAAGGCTTGAAACTTTCAGGGGAAGGTTCCAACGGTAATTTGTAGTTAATTTCGGCCAATTTCAGCTCTTAGCACAGTAGAAGCTACTCATCCCCCAACCTCAGCAGGTAGATGTTCACATGTTCACCAAGCAGCTTGTGCACAGCCTGCAAAAAGGACCCCGGCCTCTAAATATCAAGGATCTGTGCTCTAATGGCTGATGGGTTGCTTCTGATGACAGATGTATAGAAAAGAAAGGCAGCCATTGTTGTTGCAACTTTCCCCGATCATTGCAAAAAAAAAAAGACCTGTCAACAAAGGATCTTACAATTTATATTTGGCAAAACTGTCCCTCTAAAATAAGGGAGAAATTAAGATATCCCCAAAGAAACCACAGTTGAGGGAGTTATCACCATTAGACCTGACCTGTAAGAAATACTCAGTAGAGTTCTGTAGGGTAAAATGAACAGTAACTCGAAGCCATATGAAAACATAAAGGTCTCAATAAAGGAAAATGCATGGGCAATTATAAAAAGCTAGTAATATTGTAACAATGGTTGTAATTCTACTTTTTAAAAAATAATTTAACAGACCAATACATTTTTTAAAAACAATCAAAAAAATAATATTATTGTGAATTTAGTTTGTAATTCTGGTT